GCTGCGCCGTCCGCCTGCCGTGGGGGAGTGGCCCTTTATAGTGGGCTCAGGGCGGGTGGCCGAGCTCTCGTGCTCGCGGAGAGGCCCGTGTTCCTCCCTGGCCAATCCGGGCCTGGCCCTGCGCACAGCTGGCCCTGCTTAGCCAGGCTCCAGGCTCGGAGGCTGGGCAGCCCTCACCTGTGGGAGGGAGGGGAGGGAAGGGGAGGGTGGGACGGGAAGCGAATCCCTGGTCCCCTGAAGATCCTGCTTGCTGCAACCCCGCACCCCACTGCACCCCGTCAACCCTGAGGAGCCTGTGCTGAGCCCGTGCCTTGCTGACCCTCCTTACCCCACTGTCTCCCCAGAGCATTGAGCGCCTCAAACGAAAGCAGCAGCCCAGGGAGCGCCGGGGCAGCTGGAAGGCCGTCAAAGAGACCTTTGGGGGGAACTTCTCCCCGAACTGGTTCAACCCCTTCTCCGGACCCTATCACCCCGCGCTCAGGGACGAGGGCTGGGTGCGGCAGGTGGCGTCGTCAGACAACATGGAGACAACAACGGAGGAGCAGTCGGAGGAACAGTCGGAGGAGAGGAAGGACGAGGACTCCGTGGAGGTGACGGACGAGTGATGCTGCTGTGGGGGGCTGTCACCTGCCATCGGGGCTCCTGGGCACGGCGCACCCCTGCCCCCGCTGTGCCCCGCTCCCTGGGCACTGCTGTCCTCACACCCTCCTTCCTTCCCCATGTGGGGCCAGGTCTGGGGGTCAGGGACCAGGGACAACAGAGGAGAACAAGAGGCTTTCTCTGAGTTCGTCTAAGAGTATCCAGGGAGGGATGCCAGGAGCCATCTCCACAACTGGGCGTCCTTCAGCCTCGCCCGGCAAAGGGGGCTCTGGACGGGGCGGCCCAGGGCAGCAAAGAACTTGCCTTTAGCTTTTCTCTGGATGTGTGTCTTCTCTTGGGAAGGGGGGCCTGCCATCTTGGCCATGAGGTTGTAGCAGAGGACAGAGAAGGGCAGCCTCGGGGCCCTGGGATGAGACAGAGACATCAGGATCCAGCCCCCTGGAGGGGGGGCGGGGGGGTCTAAATTAGGAGAAACGCCTGGCAGCCGCAGCTTCCTTCAGGCCAGGCAGGGCCCAGCCTGGGGGACACACATCCCGTGTGGGATGTGCCCAGGATGGACACGAGCCCATGACAGCAGCACCCAACTCAGTTCCTGCCCCGCAGACAAGATCCTGCATCCGCCCTGTCCCGGCTGTGGCTGCGGGTGTCCCTTCCCAGGTGGGGAGGGACCTGTGTGGAGCTCCGGGGCCTCTCGACCTCCCAGGGGAACTTACTTTTCCTCTCCCTCCCGGAGGGAATCTACCCAACATGCGCAGAAACTGACCGGAACTTGGCCTGTGTGCTTTAGCCATTTCTCCCAAGATCGTGCCCCTCGCCTCTGCGGGGTAGGAGATGGGGGGTGGCCCGGGGCTGCATGGTGATGACCCAGGAAGACAGACACCCCCTCCCCCCCGACTCTACCAGGAGGCTGGGACCTGGTCGCCCCATTTGAAGGCTGAAGCCTGAGCAGGGGAACCCATCTCAGAGGTTGTTGGAGAAGTACCTTCTGGACAGAGGGGCTCGGGTCCCTGTTTGGTACAAGAGTGGGATCCCCCACTCCCAGCCTAGGCTCTGTTCTGGGGTGCACTGCCCGTGACGCCAGCACCTGGATCGGAGGAGGGCCCACAGAGCCTGCCCAAGCTGGTGGTGGTTGTCCTAACCCAGAGGGCAGCCCTGGGGCTCAGCAAGGATTGGGGACCAGAGACCCCACCAGGGAGGACGCAGTGCTGCCCGCTGGTGTCCCCGAGGAGGCAGGGCTCGAGGTTAGAGTAAGGGAAGGGGGCTTGCTGGTGTCTGCTGAGCTCGGCGGGAGGTCAGAGGTGTGTGCTAAACCTGAGCCTAAGACACGACCCCATTCAATGGGCTTGGCCTGAGAGCAGCGGGACCCAGCAGCCCAGAGCCACCTGTCAGACCCGGCCCTCCCTCCTCGCTGGGCCCATCTCCACACCAGGCCTCACCCACAGCACCCTGCCCACCCCCAGCCTCATGCCCTCACACAGCGACTCCACAGCCTCTGTGGTGGCTGCCAGCAGCGGAGCCTCCTGCTGGGCCTCACACAGGAAGCATTGCAGCTGATGCCAAACAAGTCAAGGGTCTACGGGGAGGGAGGCATGGACCTCAGCCTTTCTCTTCAATAAAAAGTTCTGTGTGACCTCAGTGGCTGGTCTCCACCTTCAGCAGGAGGTCCCAGCCCGGGCCCCTGGGTGGTGTCCTTCCTCATGGTCACCTTGAAGCCTCTTTTCTCCCATTTCCCGTGTGGGAGACAAGGACACAGCGCGGCTGCAGTGGGGAGACACTAGCCACACCCTCCCCTGGGGGTCCTCCGGGTGGTGTCTGCGGTGAGTGTTCACTGGGCGCCTACTGTGCGTTAGGGAGGGGCATCCGGGGCAAGAGTGCACAGGATGGAAGGGCTGTTGTTGTTAAACCCGCCCAAGAATACTTTTTCCCTCGATTTTTAGAGAGTGGAAGGGAGGGGGAGAGACACAGAGAAACATTGATGTTGAGAGAGACTCATGGATTGGTTGCCTCCTGCAAGCGCCCCGACCAGGGCCAGGGATGGAGCCTGCAACGGAGGCACATGCCCTCGATCTGAATCGAACTCGCAACCATTCAGTCTGCAGGGATGATGCTCCAACCCCTGAGCCAAACCAAACTGGCTAGGACAGAGGTTTTTTCATTTAGAACCCAGCCCGCCACCCCTGAATGTCATGTAAATTACACACAAAATAACCTTCAACCCACACACGTGCCTCTGCCGGGTGATACCGCCGGGAGGGGCTGGGTGTCCTGAACAGGCCCCACATACAGCCCAACCCCTCGGAGGGGGAGTCCCTGGGCCTGGGGCGTTGGGAGGATTGGATGGCTCCCCAAGTGCCCACCTGACCCGGCAGAAGATGCTATGAAGCGTGTTCCCTGAAAGAACACAGACCCAGGAACCCTCATTGAAGCATCCGTTTAATTAACGCACATGGATCATCTGAGCAAGTCCGAGGACAGAGGAACAGCTTGCGGTTGGCACAGGGAGGCACCTCCTGCCAGGACGACTCGGGTCTCCCTCCCAGGGCCCCCCGAGGCTTCTGAGAATGGGGCAGCCCTTCCTCTAGCACAGGCTACCTACAAGATGTCATCTCTGAGCAGATAGCTTCGTCCTTCTCTTTCCTGACCACGTGCTCTGGGAGAACCTGGTCACATGCGGAGGGGAGTGGTGAGAGCGGGCATGTCCGTTCCTGACCTCAGGGATGAGTCACTGTGATGGCCTTGGTCATATTCATTTCCTTCCACTCCGAGTGTTTTTTTGGCATCAGAGGAGGACCCGCCATTCCCTCATGAACCTGATCTGCTCAGGCTGTGGCCCCACCCTCCTCCAAGCTGCTCCTGTAACGCTCTCTGTCCGAGTCCAATGGCCTCTTCTCCATCTTCCCCTTCCCCTCCCTCAGCATCAGCCTGGGCGATCGCTGCCTTTTTCTGGAGTGATGCCCCCAGGACGCCACACGTGCCTGGTTTTCCTACCTCACCGCTGTCTGCTCACTCGTCTCCCTGACTTCTCAACACAGGAGTGCCAGGCTCAACCGGGGTATTAAGGAGGCAGCAAGAGAGGAGCTGGGGAGAGGCGGGCGAGGGCCAGGTCCCAGTCTGCAGGAGCCACGGGAGCTGTAGAAAGCCCCACTGTCGGCAGTGAGAACTGGAGGGCAGTGAAGGCGCTACTGCACGGAGAGAGGGACCGTGGACATGGCCCTTCCCTTCCCCAGCTTCTGGTCCCACGTCCCTTTCTACCGCAGGGAATGCAGGAGGAGCCGGGGCCAGTGGTCGGGTTCAGGCCAGCTGAGGGCTCAGACCTCCCGGGAGCCCCGAGGACCTGGAGCAGGTGAGCGTCACATCGGCCATGCACGGGAGTGTGTGGGCAGCAACTAGAGTCACAGTCACATGGGGTAGATACAAAAGCCACAGGAACCTGGGAAACAACCAAAGGACAGAAGGGGCCTACAGGTGAAGTGGGGGTGAGAGAACCTCTGGGCCAGTGTGGGGTTCGGCTACAGTGTTTTGGCCAGGTTCAAGCCTCGGACTAATGAAAGGACAGAGTCCTCTCATTGCCATGTGCAAGTCCCAGCTGGAGGGAGTGTGTGGGCAGCAACTAGAGTCACAGTCACATGGGGTAGATACAAAAGCCACAGGAACCTGGGAAACAACCAAAGGACAGAAGGGGCCTACAGGTGAAGTGGGGGTGAGAGAACCTCTGGGCCAGTGTGGGGTGCGGCTACAGTGTTTTGGCCAGGTTCAAGCCTCGGACTAATGAAAGGACAGAGTCCTCTCATTGCCACGTGCAATTCCCAGCTGGAGGGCAGGGCCCTCCCAGCACAATCATAGCCAATGGCTGTGGTTGTAAGCTTGAAACTATGGTCCAAACATGTGTCCCCATGTGCCTTGTGATAGACCTCGGGTGCATGTTTTTAAGTGAGGTTGAAACTCACGAGAATGCTGTAAACAACTTGATCACGCCCCTACTTTGCCTCGTGGCATCTGCTATAAAATAAAGACACGGCTTGTGGGCGCTGGCGCTGTCTCCTCATCAGGGAGCAGTCCCACCGAGACCCGGCTTTCATACTCTTATCTGTCTTTCCTTAATCCTTTCACCCCCCCTCTCAGTTTCCCTTTGGCCGCAACAGGCCAGTTCTGTACCCTAGTAAGTAGAATAAAACTGGGTCCCCAAAGTGAGCTCAAGCTTTTCTCCGTGAGGACCAAGGGAGTGGCCAGGCCTTCCTGACCGGAAGGGCGCCGGCCTGGGAATGTGGGAAGGAGCTGTGCGCCCTGCAGGGCCCAGGCCGGGGGAAGGTGGGGGCCATCACCACTCCAGGAGCTGCAGCTCTCCCTGGCTGCTCCCTCTGACTCCAAAAACTTAGGAAAGAAATAAATGTAGGAAGGAATTAGGATTCCACACCTGGTAGTTTTAACTTACAAGAAAGCATTAATCCAGTCTTCCTCCTCCTATAATATGGCACGGCTGGCCCGACACATCGGCAAGAAGTTGTCCAAGTCCCACCAGTCACTGGCGTGTCACGTGACTTAGGCCACCAGGCTACAATTACAGCTGGTTCGAGTCCAGCTCCTGCGTGGCCCCTGGGTGGGCCCGGAGGTCAGAATCGGAGCACCGCAGACGGCCAGATGCTGGGGCAGAGCCTGCTGTGCCGCGGTTCCCCTTCAGGAGCCGGAGCTGCCACCACAAGGCTGCTCGGTCACAGGCCTGCTGCCCTCGGCAGCAACTCCCTTTGGCTGACGGTCGGAAGGCTGCACCCCCGATCGCCCTGGGAAGCAGTCCCCACACGCCAGACCGAGCCTGAGCCACCATCTGTCTTTCCAGCTGCCCACCAGCCAAGTGCCTCTACTGCTGCTTGAGCGGAAGGGCCTTCCTGTGGACGAGGATGAGTCCGCAGAGGATGAGGAACACGCCTCCCCACCACAGCACCTCCTGGCTCTCTCCGTACAGCACAAAGCCCAGGGCGGCCTGCGGGACAGACAGCTGTGAGGCCCGGAGACACGTGCCCACGGGACCCGGCCATGACGGCTGGGCACAACCCCGCCCCCGGGAGCTGACTGCCCTACTAGGGTGGGAGGAAGGGTCTAGAGCAGGGGTGGGCAAACTTTTTGACTCGAGGGCCACAATGGGTTCTTAAACTGGACCGGAGGGCCGGAACAAAAGCATGGATGGAGTGTTTGTGTGAACTAATATAAATTCAAAGTAAACATCATTACATAAAAGGGTACGGTCTTTTTTTTTTTTAGTTTTATTCATTTCAAACGGACCGGATCCGGCCCGTGGGCCGTAGTTTGCCCACGGCTGGTCTAGAGCCCCTGCTGGCAAGTCACTCGATTCATTTTGGTTTCACCTGCAGAGGTGAGGAGGGTACCTTCCTCACCGCACTGGACCCCGGCAAAGTGCACAGAACCAGCCGAGGCCACAGCGAGACCAGTGTGCGGCTGGTACCTGAGCTGGCCTCCTGCCTCCTGCCTCCCCCCACCTGCTGACCTCAGGCCACCAGAGAGAGGAACCTAGAACCTGGCACCTCATGCTGGAGGGTGCAGTCCCCTAGGAGACTGGGCAGGGCAGGGCAGGGCAGGAGGGCTGCAGCCTGGTCGAGCAGCAGGCAGGCTGGCTGTACCGTTGGACTGCGTCCCATTGAAGGCGAGAATGCCTCAGTTTGAGAGTTGAGAGGAACAGCCACAGCCCAACCTCTGCTCTGGTTCCTGACCTTTCTCCGATGTGGGGAAGCAGGGTTGCCCAAGGACAACCCACCCAGAACCCAAGTTTGAGACGGGGGCACTGGACGCTCAGGCTACTCACCGAGCTGAGGATGTTCGAAAAAGTCACCGTGACAGAGGCAATGGCTGACGACATGGAGAAACTGAGGCCGCGGCTGAAGAATGTCCACATCAGAGAGTTGGCGGTCGCCATCACGATGATGCCCAAGATACAGGAGGCCACGTGCACCTGCAGGAGGAGGTGTCACGGCAGCCAGGCCCAGCCCGCCCTGCACCCAGCAGCGCCCCTCACAGCACACCCAGGGCCCCCTCCTGAGACCCCACCACAGCCTAGGGGATCCTCAACATTCCTGCGGGACTTAGCCCTCCACGGGCAGCACATCCACTTTACAGCTGACACAAATTCAGAGATGACACTTTTTGGCCATCTTATTGGCCATGTGACCTTGGGCAGAAGGAAAATGCTAATCCATGACCAGTATTTTCTAGAGCACCAGTTCTTTAGTCGGCCCGCAGGGACCAATGCTGGAAGTCCAGTCCGAGAGGGCCAATTGTTACTATGTGGTCTGTAGTAGGGGTACCTTCCCGGAGTCAGGTAAAGCATGAACTAGACATGTCTCTCCCCTTCTGTGCCCGATCCGTCCCACTCAGGCTGGTCCCACTGGGCATTCTGGAGCTTTTACTCTGTGCCAGGCCCTGGGGTAAGTACTTTCAGTGCATTCTCATTTATTCCTTAACTTCACTTTACAGATAAAGAATCTGAGGCATTAAGTAAGTTGCCTCAGTGCCACCGCTGATAGGAGCTGCCAGGATTCAAACCCAGCTGTGTGGCTCCGCCATCTTAACCAGGACGCAGCCCTGCCCACGGCAAACCACCTGAGGCCATTTGACTGGTGATGCCAGGCATCACTTGGAGGACTGGCCGAGTTTTGTCTCTTTTTCTAAAAGGTGACAGCCTTGAGAATACATTCCTTCTACGCTAAGGATATGCAGAGCCCCTTGCTTGGTTTCAAGGTAGCAACTTGCCTGCTTCCTGGGGAGGGAGGGGAGGTTGTGACCATCTAAACCCCATACTCATTTCCCATAAGTTTTCCAGCAGCTGAATATATAGGGTCTTGAGGAAAGGGTTTCCTTGTATAATGTACACAAAGCGCTGTCCGTGCCAGTGGTGGCTGCCTGTATAAAAGGTTAAAGGCCTGGGCACAACTGGAAAGACCAGAAAACCTCCTGCCGCAGAGGCACTCATCTTACTCTGGCCACTTACTCCAAGAATTGCACCCCTCAAGCCCGGCAGCTCCCCCTGGATTAGCCCCAAATGGCTGAAACCTTCAGCATCAACCTGCCCCCGTCCAGGTCGGGTCTAACTCAGGGCTGCAGAGTCGGGATGGCGAAGCCAAGAGGTGCACGTGAGCGGACACGGGCCGCAGCTTAAGATCTCAACGTGGGGAAAGTCCAGAACGTCTCCCAAACCCCCAGACTCCCTGGCAGCGCGGCCAACACACCCGTTCATTACGGAGGGAAGAGATGGGCAACAGGCGGCTCACCTGGAGTCACGTGGAGAGAAACGTTCAGCACAAGGGGCTTAAAATGAGAGGTAGAGAGTAGATGGAGGAGGTGTGCGCCTTCCCCGAGCCAACCAGCCCAACGGGAGGACCGGCTTTAGGTTCCCGACGTGTCTTACCGCCCACACGCGCCGCAGCGCAGGGATGCTCGCCCGCCCCTGTGGCTGCAGGG